AAAGAGTCAACAAAAGGCCAATAACATGTCAATAATAAGTCAGTACATATCAGTTATAACCAGCAATGTCAATGGCCTCAACTCACCAATCAAGAGAGATAGACTGGCAAAATGGAATAAAAAGCAAAATCCAACAATATGTTGTATATAAGAAACACACCTAGTGCAAAAAGAAGCCCATAGACTGAAAGTGAAAAGGTAGAAAACAATTCTCCATGTGACAGGAGCCCAGAAAAAAACAGGGGTAGCAATCTTATTTGCAGACAAAGTAAATTTTAAACCAAAACTGAATCTAATATTATTGATGTAGGACGGTGCTGTATCACACCTCTATGAATGTAAAATATCTAGCACCTGCTTTATGATACAGAGTAGGGACCGTGCTTTATCAGAGCTACATTTAATGATATTACTCTAGAATGTTCTCTTTCCAGATGATGATTAAGAGGCTAATAGAAAAAATGGTGCCAGGTACCACAACAGCCACAGAACTTTGTTGTTGTCTGGATATTATTCTTTTCTTTGTTTTTTCGTTTTTTTTTTTTTAATGGAATGTGCTGAATGTCTTTTGTTCAGATGACTGCAGAACCTGGAAAAGCTGTTGCTGCTATCGATGCATAACATACTATTATTAGTCTTTTCATATAAATATATATATAGATATAGATATACACACACACAAATATATATATAAATTGAATTTTGGGAAACTTTAACGGTGCTGCCAACTTTGGAAAAAGTCATCCCAATTTACTGTGTTGAGTTGGCATTGTACAGAAATGGACAACCATATTGGGCTAGAAATGTTAATTTATTTTTATTTTTATTTTCCATGTGTAGAGGGGCAACACATCATACTAAATATGTAAGGTCATATCTACGTGGGTTTGATTACAGAAACTAATAAAGTATTCTCTAAATAATGAAAAAAGAATAAGATAAGACTATAAGAGTGAGAAGCAATTTAAATATGTTCAGGGACCATTTTCATCTCCAGAATTAAGGATTATTTTAATGTTACATCATTGCCTTTTCTCTTTTACTTTCCTTTTTAGTTTTATTTTAGGATTCCCTATTTTTAATGTTAATACAGAAATTTCTTTAACTGAAATACTGAATAGTTTCTTTGGTGTGAAAAACTATTAATAGTACACAGGATCCTAATGAGATAATTAATAATGTGAAATTGGAAGTAAAGGGCTAAAGGCATAGGGAAAGTGGGAAGGGTGAGGGAAAGGTAATGAGGGAGAGGGAAAAAATATGAGAAACTGAAAAAATGGAAATAAAGTGTTTGTAAATGGGGAGGGGAGGAGGGGGTGAAGGGAGGGCAGGGACAAGGGGAAAAA